AGTAGAGAAAATGAAATTGAGGCTGTACAATATCTTCTAAAGGAGCTGAATCAGATTAAGGAAGATTCGCTGAAAGATTATTTTGACTTTGAAATAGACTTATCGCAAGTCTCTGGCGCATTCGCATTAAAAACATCACTAAGGATGTACCAAGGAGTTCAAAATATTGCTGTGAAATTAACACCTAAAAACACCACAAGCGAGTCCTATCTTCTCGTCAACAGTCACTTTGACTCGAAGCCAGCTACTCCCTCTGCCGGTGATGCTGGTTTTATGATAGTCACGATGCTGGAAGTTTTGCGTGTGATTGCGACAACAAAGCAAAATATTCAGCATCCAGTCGTCTTTCTTTTCAATGGAGCTGAAGAAGGCGCTTTGGAGGCTTCACATGGTTTTATAACTAAGCACAAATGGGCGTCACGCTGCAAGTACGTTTCAAAGCTCATCTTCGCTGTTTAACAATAATTAAAACCTATTCACCAAAATTGTAGAGCCGTCGTTAATCTTGACGCTGGCGGTAGTGGAGGTCGGGAAGTTCTATTCCAAAGTGGACCCGATCATCCATGGCTCGTGAAAGTAAGTCATCTTTGAAAGTATTTTGAGTCGTAAATACCATTGATATACAATAATATAATATTACAGTATTATAAAAGATTTGTTAAATATCCATTCGCTACAACTATGGCTGAAGAAGGTTTCCAATCAGGCACAATACCATCGGATACAGACTTTCGACAATTTAACTTGTATGGCAACCTACCAGGTAAATGGAATTTCCTTTTTAATTTAATTGAATCCCAAATATTATTTTTATAGGTTTGGACATGGCCCAATGTATAAATGGATTTATTTACCATACAAAGTACGACGTAATCGACATAATTCCTCTTGCATCCCTGCAGAATACAGGGGACAATGTTCTTAGTTTGGTTCGGGGTTTGTCGAATGCAACCGAATTATATGATACAGAGGTATTCCCGAATTGTAGTATAAAGCTGCCACACACTAATCATTTTTTACTTTTAGGCACACAAAACGGGACACGCTATATTTTTCGATTTTCTGGGACTCTACTTCATCCATTATTCAGAGACTACGGGCATATGTTTAAACTTTTGCGTTGCCGGAGTTTCCCTAGTTTTGATTTTCGTATCAATATGGCGCATGTCAGCTCTTTCCCACCTATCCATTTTCCAAGTTGTACACTGGTTTATATTTGTCCTAATCGTCCAGGCTGTTTCCTTTGTACTTGGACTGGTTCTTCCTATAGTGGTGTCATATGTATTTGACAATTTTGGACTATCACTGTCTTACTATAGCACTCCGTTGTTGATGATCGGTCTTTACGTGTGCCCATCCCTCATTGGCCTCAGTTTGCCGATAACAATATACTACATTCTCCAAAGAAATGTAAGTTTATTATCTAGTAAATAGTTGGTAATATTTTCTAATAAATTGTTCATCCCCAGGATAAAATATCAAATGCCTACCATCTCCAACTGGCATTGCATGCTCAGGCCGTGATACTGGCTCTTTTAACTATTGGTCTTACATTGTTTGGCTTGCGCTCTGCATATATATTCGTTGTTCCACTAATTTTCTATGTGCTTTCTCTGGCCTTAAATCTATTGACTACTCTGCACGATCGTGGCTATGCTTGGACGGGTCTGCTTAAAGTGAGCCAGATAATTCCTTTCTTATACAGCAGCTACCTCTTTTACTTCTTTGTTGTGGTTCTAACTCCAATGGGTGGTCGTTCATTCAGTTCATCAAATCCGGACCTAAGTATTGCGCTCTTGTCAGCGGTGGGAACGGTTCTTTCTTTTGGCTTTTTGGTAAGTTAACTTAATGAGTTCTTTGTTTTCATGTTTATCAGCTATTATTATTGTTGTTCCCAGGTTCCGCTAATCAACACTTTTCGTCGACCCAGCATTGTAATTTTCACTCTGTTTATTATCTCTGCCCTTTCAATGTACTTGGCCAGTAGCACCCAAATAGGATTTCCCTACAGGCCTAAAACCAACGTACATCGTGTTGCATATCTGGTGAGTATCTTACAATTTTAACTGACTTCTTTTATTTTATCCAACTGTCCTACCAGCAAGTGCGGAATATATTCTACGAGTACGATGGTACTGTCAGCAAGGACGAGTCTGGCTACCTATTTAACTTTCAGGATCGCCGGGAAGAAAAACCCCTCTTGGGCACAAACGTAAATCTGACCGGCTTGGTTAGCATTAAATCAAAATGTGAGCAGCACATGATGTGCGGCATGCCATTATATGATTCAAGCTACGTTCTGAATCGACTTCAAGCCAAATGGTTGCCACGTTTGGAACCTATTGAACCACCAGCATTACTAACATTAGAGATGCTTAACAAAACTGTACTTGATTCCACCACTGTCCGATTTGAGTTCTCTTTGGAGGGTCCCCCTCAAATGAGACTGTTCATTCAGCCGTATGAAGATGTTTTAATAAGCAACTGGTCCTTCTTGGATAGTTATCTTGAGACACCATTAACGCCGCCGTTGCCATACTTTATCTCTTTTAACTATGGCATTGACAACTCCCCATTAAAGTTTTTCTTAGAATGTTCGGTAAGATATAATATGAAGCTTTTGGTATTTAATTTAAAATTCAATGCATTTGCCAGAAACCGAACGGCGATTTCAATGTCCCCATACTCCAACTGGGTGTTTCCAGACACTATATTGGAAATGAAGGTGATGCCCAGAGTGTGAAGTTCGCCTCTTCATTCCCCGCATTTGCAAGTCTGGCACAGTGGCCAGCACTATACCAACGATATATTTTTTAATTTTTAAAATGTTTCCACTGTAAATAAAGAAATACTTCACGAAGAAACAAGAAAATATATATAAGCCAGAAGGACAGACATGTATATTACTGGGCAGAAAGCTTGCCTTGCGTGAAATTTGGTGTTATTTGCAGCGCAGGGAAATCTTCCCATGTTTTTGGTATACAAAAACGTACAGGCATATATAGACACACAAACACATGCATACGTACAATCAAACAAAATAATTTAGTTAATTAGATTGCCATAGGGTATGGAAAACACAGTTTTCCAATCTGAATACATCGATCTATGCACATAAGTACTTGCCTTAAAGAGACGACTAGCATTATTCGAATTCACTTTGATTTAGATCAGAACAAGGTGTGCATTAAAACTGTTTACAGTCGCAATCATTCGATGCTATAAACACACCCCTTCACGATAAATTAATTGCTATTTAACCATAAATATAAATTGTGTACAAAGCGATAATTTACTCAAAGACAAAGAAAAGTAGTCAGGGTTCAATTGTTGTACCCTGTGCCAATTATAAATGATTAAAAAATCGTAACAGCATTCTGGGAAGACAAGAATGGACATTTTCTCTACATTAAAGATCAATTAAAATAAATTTCTCTATGTTAATTATGCAATCAAGGCACAAGAGTGTTAAATGAATTTAAGGTATTACAGACCTGAGTAAAGGGTATCTTCTAGTTAATCAGTGAAAGATCTTTTATCGTTATCAATATGTGATAAAATACACGCTTTCAATTAAATTGTGAAATCATATTTAAAGATGGTCACAGTTTTTGCATATAAACTAAAATTGATTTAAAGTAAGACCGTTTTTGGATACCCTTTTGGTTTTCAAAACATTTTAATAGCTCCATCAGTTTATCGGAGCATTTGGGCTTAGAAGGAGATACAACAGATATGTAGATATGTTGAAGAATTAAAAAGACAAGATTTGACGAGTGAAAAACATATTGTTTCCCTAAAAGATCAAGCAATTATATGTTTAGAATTGTAGGTTCAATTCAACTTAGACACCATGAAATCGATTAGTTGACATATGCGTTACATTAAAATCGACATAATGTACCTATATTTTCTATAAGAGTACTAAGCCTTCAGCATCACCAAGATAACTTTTTCGTTTTCACTTTTCTTACGTCTAGTTCTTTAAGTTCTATCAGCAGATATGAAAGCTAGCAATAACAATTTTAACATTGCGGTGGTACCGAAAGTAATATAAAAGATCTTTGCATTTGGCATAAAGAAAAACATAATTTAAGAACGGAATACTGACCAAATGTATACTCTAGAAGATCATAAATAAAATCATTTGACAAAATGTATGGTTTTTCGAATACATGTTTTGAATAATAATATATATATAATAATATCCCCCAACTTAGAAACATTCTATTCCCTGTTTATTTTATGTATGTATTTATATTTTAGGACTTATATAACTTATCGATAAGGAGCGAAAATTATATAATTCTCTGCAAATATAAAATAAGAGGTACATATAGGTGCAATGATCTTGTCGTAGCAACATGATTGGTAATTCCCGACTCATTTAAAGAAGTAATATACACACACCTTATCTTCAATCAACATAATAATATTATATTATTCGATATTATTTGATATCGACACATCATTAAACTAGGTCTATTGTAAAATGCAAAAGGGGTATATCGAAAAATTATGAAATGCTAAGCGATATTTTAGCTTAACCAAAATTGTACATTTTTGTTCTGATACCATTGAAATGTCTTAACAATACAATATGAAAAATGAAGAACAATAAAGAAATGAAATAAATTTGGCAGGAAAGCCAAAGACTATAATAGCAATTGCTTTTCTAAGGGTATTCTGCAAAATAGTTCTTACCACATTTCATGACTTTCATAATAATTATGGTTAAACATATTAAACTACCCTCAAACGAATGATAGTTATCATTCTGATTATAATTTGACGTTCAAACATGATTTGATTGAAAACCTTTGTGACACTCTTATATGTCTTAATTGTACATTTACTGTGTTTAAGCAATCAATGGATTGGTATTATAAATGATTATATTTAAAATGGCATTTAAAACTCTTTTTTTTTTTATTAAGATTACTTTTTTAACAACTATAAAAGCGGTCCGCTCTTACATTAGGTCAGTAGTTCCTATTTGGTAAACCTCGGCTTCACATCAGCAAATAAGGACAGTATGGGTGACAAGGACAAACTGGTAAGGAATACTAAATATATTTCTATGATTATCACTTCTCTAGTTTTCAATCGTTCATATTTCTTAGATATTAGCAGAGTCTGTCGAAGCTCCCGAAAATGTGGTTAAAAAGGATGCAACTTTGAAAGTACCTTGGTACTTTGCTAGTGGTTTTCTGCTTTTCTGGGGACTCCTCTTTTTCGCTGTTGTGATACCGTGTTTCTATCGTTTACCCACGGCTCTTACATTGGAGGACGCAAAGAAAAATGTATTCATAACAGAACGCGCATACAAAAATCTGTATAAATTTTCTAATATTGGTAACAAATTGGAAGGCAGTACGCAAAATGAAGTTGAGGCAGTAAACTTTATTTTAAATGAGCTGGCACAAATCCACGAAGTTCTCCTGGAAGACTACTTTGAGATGGAAGTTGACGTGTCACGAGCATCTGGTGCATTCGTATACAAAACCATGCTAAACATGTACCAAGGCGTTCAAAATATTGCTGTAAAACTAACACCGAAAGGTAGCACAAGCGAAACCTACCTCCTTGGTCTGCCGGTGATGATGGTTTCATGGTAGTCACGATGTTGGAAGTCCTGCGCGTCATTGCAACCACTAAGCAAACCATCGAACATCCGATAGTCTTTCTCTTTAATGGAGCTGAGGAAAGTGCTATGCAAGCATCTCACGGTTTTGTAACTCAACACAAATGGGCGCCATACTGCAAGTAAGCAATATTATTTACCTCTATCAAAAGACTACAAATTTGACACCTAAACCTTAAGGGCCGTCATTAACCTTGACGCTGCTGGTAGTGGAGGTCGGGAAGTTCTATTCCAAAGTGGCCCCAACCACCCATGGCTTGTAAATGTAAGTTATATAACAAGAATAGGTTGGAAGGTTTTCTAAGCACTTCTCAATTTTAATAGTACTACAAGAATTACGTCAAACATCCATTCGCTACGACCATGGCCGAAGAAATTTTCCAATCAGGAATTATTCCATCGGATACAGACTTTCGACAGTTTAATTTATTTGGCAACATCCCAGGTGAGATTCATAATTCAGCCCAAATAAGAATATTGGAATAATAAAGCATTGAACTCAGGATTGGACATGGCACAGTGCATTAATGGATTTATCTACCATACAAAATATGACTTGATTGATGTGATTCCTCGTGAGTCCTTGCAAAACACCGGTGACAATGTTCTTGGCCTGGTTCGAGGCTTGGCAAATGCAACCGAACTACACGATACAGAGGTAAACATCTGACTTATAACATCTTGCTACTAAATTGTATTCCAACTTTTGAAATTCAATTCATAGGCTTACAAGAGTGGACACGCCGTCTTCTTCGATTTCCTGGGACTCTACTTCGTTCACTATTCTGAAACTACGGGAGTATCTCTGAACTATGGCGTTGCCGGAACTGCCCTTATTTTGATATTCGTTTCAATGTGGCGCATGGCGGCTGTTTCCCAAGTATCCATATGCCACGTGGTGTGCTGGTTCATATTGGTCCTAATCATTCAAATTATTTCCTTTGTATTTGGATTGGCTCTTCCTATAGTCGAGTCATATATATTTGACAATTTGGGATTATCGCTCACTTACTATAGCACTCCATTGTTGGTGATCGGTCTTTATGTTTGCCCCTCACTCATTGGCCTCAGTTTGCCTATAACTATTTACTACGGAATCCAGCGCAACGTAAGTTGATAATCTTGTAATTAGATAAACAAACACTGTCTAATGAATTCCCCTTTTCTAGGAAAAAATTTCAACAGCTTATCATCTTCAACTGGCGTTGCATGCTCAAGCGCTCATCCTGGCTCTTCTAGCCGTTGGCATTACACTATATGGCTTGCGTTCTGCATATATATTCGTTATTCCTCTGATTTTTTACGTGGTATCTTTGGCTATCAATTTGTTGACTACTCTGCACGATCGTGGTTTTGCATGGACGGGTCTGCTTAAGGCGAGCCAGATAATTCCTTTCTTATACAGCAGCTACCTTTTTTACATATTCGTGGTAGTACTCACACCAATGGGTGGTCGTTCGGGTAGTGCGACCAATCGGGACTTGTATATTGCTGTCCTGGCAGCAGCAGGAACGGTTCTATCATTTGGATTCTTGGTAAATATACTCTTACTTATGTTGACAAGTGCTGCATCAGTCACTCATGCTTTATATCGACACAGATTCCGCTTATCAACGCTTTCCGCAAACCCAGTCTTGTGGTTTTCTCTCTGCTCGCAATCACAGCTGTTGCTATGTACTTAGCCAGTAGCACACAAATCGGTTTCCCATACCGACCGAAGACCAACGGACAGCGCGTTGCATATTTGGTAAGTGTCCTATATAATAGCTAACTCATAGTAATTCTAATATTTAATATATAACGGTTACAATTTTAGCAAGTGCGAAATAAGTACTACGAGTACGATGGTACTCTCAGCAAGGACGAGTCTGGCTACCTGTTTAGTTTTCAGGATCGACGTGAAGAAGAAACTTTCTGGGGCCCAAATCTGACTGGCTTAGTTAGCATTAAATCGAATTGCGAGACCCACATGATGTGTGGCATGCCGTTGTATGATTATCGTTACACCCAGAGTAGATTACAAAGCAAATGGTTGGCGCGATCTGAGCCTATCGAACCACCAGCACCATCAAATTTGGAATTGCTAAGCAAAACCGTGCTCAATGAAACTACTGTGCGCTTTGAGTTTAATTTGACAGGTCCCTCGCACATGAGTTTGTTTATTCAACCCTATGAAGATGTAGAGATAAGCGGCTGGTCGTTCTTACGTAGTTATCTTAACAATCCACCAGCGGCACCTTTATCATATCATATCTACCTCACATACGGCATTGATAGTTCCCCCATAAACTTTTCTTTGGAAATTTCGGTAAGATACGTTTCAGACATTCAATCACATGCCAATTTAAAACAAATTCGTTAATTTTTGTATCTATAGAAACCTGATGGCGACTTTAATGTACCATTGTTCCAACTTGGAGCGTCGAGACATTTTATTAGAAACCCGGGAGATGATAAAGCTGTGAAGTTCGCATCTTCATTACCCTCCTATTGTATATTGGCCGAGTGGCCTGCACTTTATGAACGTTACATTTTTTAATTATTGAAGTTGCGAAAGAGAAACCTTCAATTTACAATAAATAAATGTGCATACATACAATGATTACAAACATTTATTTTTGACATACTAAATAGAGTAAGCAATGACAGAGATGATTACGAAGTTTAGAGCTTAATTTCCCCTTAAATAAATAGGGCTTGTGGGTTAGCCTTCATTATAACACTTTTCCTCGTTGTTCAGATTATTCTCAGTTGGGCAGTTAAGTTAAACAAGTCGTTATTAAAGTAAACATTAACCTCAGCACGCAAAACATTTCCCTAGCTAACAAAATTCCACTAGGAAATAGTACAGCAATTAAATAGAAAAATGTGTACTAACCAGGCACTACTAAACAAATAGAGAAGAGTAAATAGGATACACTGCTGCTTAGGCTGCTTACAAAGAGTGCACAATTTGAAGAATCAGTTATAGAGTGCGGTCTTACGCAACACGTCGAAATACGTTCTAAGAATAAAAAAATAAAATAAAAACAAAAGTAAAAGCGCCGCGAGTCGAAAAGTTAAATGAGCATACAATAATTTAAATTATAGAGAGAGAGAATCTATGCTGAAAATATCAGATAAGATGGATTCCGAAGCTGTCTTGTCTAAACTAAGCAAACTGAGGGATCAGTTAACTTGTGGGCGTCTTGATGAGATGTTACGCGCTATTCGAACTCGGTTTGAATCATGTCAGAACAAGGTGTGCTTTTTAATTGAATACAATTACAGCTATTTATAACTCATAAACACGCCCCTTGGCGACATATTAATTGTTAGTTATCTCTGAATTTAAGTATTGTATCAAGCGATAACACAATCAAGTAAAAGCAATGCAATTAATATTCGGCAAACTTGTTTTTTATCAGTGATTAAATGTGACGCGAAGCGTGTTCTCAATCAAAATGTAAAAAAATTAAAATGTTTATGCTTATGCTTATGTTTATATAAACAACATTTCTCAAACGCACTGTTAATGTACACAAAACTATTTCGGTATACCCTTGAGAAGTCTGAATAATTTATACAAAAGGTATCTCTAAAAAAACAACCAGTGACTTTGAAGTGGATATTTTGTGATCTATTGTGTTTGGGATTCTACAACATATTATTAAATTCGCATTACATTTTGCTCCGTCCTTCTCAAAAAAAAAAACTTTATTTTCGATGAGACATGAGCTCCCAATAGATTTACAATTAAAAGGGATTTTACTACCCATGTAGTTATTTTAGTGTAAATGTTCGGTATTAAAATTTTGTCAATCAATTCTTAATTATAAAATTATGTAGATCTCTGATGAACCTAACGAAGCTCCCGAAAATGTGTCCAAAAAGGAGATTAAGGCCCAAGTACCTTGGTACTATGCAAGTGGATTCCTGCTCTTCTGGGTACTTTTGTTTTTTGCTGTAGTTTTACCATTTTTCTATCGATTACCCACGGCTCTAACAATGGAGGATGTGAAAAAGAATGTGTTCATTGCGGAGCGTGCCTACAAGAATCTCTACACTCTTTCTAATATTGGTACCAAGTTGACTGGCAGTAAGGAGAACGAGATTGAGGCAGTTAACTTCATTCTAAACGAGCTGGCAAAAATCGAAGAAGTTCTTCTGGAAGACTACTTCGATATGGAAGTTGACGTTTCGCAAGCCTCTGGTTCTTTCCCATATAGTACAATGCTTAGCATGTACCAAGGCGTTCAAAATATTGCTGTGAAATTGGCTCCGAAGAATTCTACAACCGAGACCTACCTCCTCGTCAACAGCCACTTTGATTCCAAGCCATTTACCCCGTCTGCCGGTGATGCTGGCTTCATGGTAGTCACGATGTTAGAAGTTTTGCGGGTTATTGCGACAACAAATCAACCATTTGAGCATCCGATTGTCTTTCTCTTTAATGGCGCTGAAGAAGGTATGATGCAAGCTTCTCATGGTTTCGTAACTCAACACAAATGGGCACCATATTGCAAGTGAGTCTATTTAAAAAAAAAGACTGCCAATTTAGACTAAACACAAACAATCACAGAGCTGTCGTTAACCTCGATGCCGGAGGTAGTGGAGGTCGCGAAATTCTCCTTCAAAGTGGCCCCAATCACCCATGGCTAGTAAATGTAAGTTACTCTAAACAAAAATCGAATGTAGTTCTAAGCAGTTATACATTTTGATAGTATTACAAGAAATACATCAAACATCCATTCGCTACGACGATGGCCGAAGAAATCTTCCAATCAGGAATTATTCCATCGGATACAGACTTTCGACAGTTTAATTTATTTGGGAACATCCCAGGTGAGATTAATAATTCAGCCCCAATAAGAATATTGATAATATATGTCATTAAGCACAGGCTTGGATATGGTTCAGTGCATTAATGGATTTGTGTACCATACAAAATATGATTTGATCGATGTGATTCCTCGTGAATCCTTGCAGAACACCGGTGACAACGTCCTAAGTCTGGTTCGAGGCTTGGCCAATGCCTCTGAATTGCGCGATACAGAGGTACACACTTGATTCCGGAAATCTTATATATTTTTTTACTCGCACTTAATATTTTTGAATTTGCAGGCACACAAAACTGGTCACGCAGTCTTCTTTGATTTTCTGGGACTCTGCTTCATCCATTATTCAGAGACTACGGGAATTATTTTGAACTGTAGCGTTGCTGGAGCAGCTCTTATTTTGGTATTCGTTTCTATTTGGCGCATCGCAGATGTTTCCCACATATCCATTTCCCACGTGCTGCTCTGGGGTCTATTGGTTCTTACCATCCAGTTTATTTCCTTTGTACTTGGATTGGCTCTGCCTATAGTGGTGGCATATGTATTTGACAAATTGGGACTGTCGCTGACTTACTACAGCTCCCCGCTGTTGGTGATCGGTCTTTTTGTGTGCCCCTCACTCATTGGCCTCAGTTTACCCATAACAATCTACTATATTTTCCAACGCAACGTAAGTTTATAATATCGTGCCTACTTGGTCCCAATTTTCTAATGTATTTTGCGTACAGGATAAAATATCGACGTCTTACCATCTGCAGCTGGCACTGCATGCTCAGGCAGTTATTCTGGCTCTTTTAATCTTCGGTTTCACATTATTTGGTTTGCGATCTACATATATTTTCTTAATTCCACTTATTTTCTACGTCATATCCTTGGCCTTCAACTTACTGACTACACTGCATGATCGCGGATATGCTTGGACGGGTCTGCTAAAGGCAGGCCAGATTATTCCATTTCTGTATAGCAGCTACATATTTTATTTATTCGTAATTGTGCTAGTACCAATAGGTGGTCGGGCAGGCAGTTCCGCTACTCGCGACACACATATCGCTCTTCTGGCAGCAGCAGGAACGGTGCTATCCTTTGGTTTCTTGGTATGTTTACTCAACATCTCTTCCACTTCTTAAGCTTCTAACTGATCCGATCTACAGGTCCCACTTATTAATACTTTTCGACGTCCAAGTTTTGTGGTGTACTCTCTACTTGCTATCACAGTTGTTGCTATGTACTTAGCCAGCTTCACACATATCGGATTCCCCTTTCGACCAAAGACGAATGGACAGCGAGTGGCATATCTTGTTAGTATCTCATATAGTTCCCCGACTTTAACTACTCTATCTTAAATATCTGCATGGCATTTCAGGAAGTGCGAAACAAGTTCTACGAGTACGATGGTACCCTCAGTAAGGACGAGTCTGGCTACCTGTTTAGTTTTCAGGATCGACGTGAAGAAGAAACTTTCTGGGGCCCAAATCTGACTGGCTTAGTTAGCATTAAATCGAATTGCGAGACCCACATGATGTGTGGCATGCCGTTGTATGATTATCGTTATACCCAGAATAGATTACAAAGCAAATGGTTGCCGCGATCTAAACCCATCGAACCACCAGCACCATCAAATTTGGAATTGCTAAGCAAAACCGTGCTCAATGAAACTACTGTGCGCTTTGAGTTTAATTTGACAGGTCCCTCGCACATGAGTTTGTTTATTCAACCCTATGAAGGTGTGAAGATAAGCAACTGGTCGTTCTTGCGCAGTTATCTTGACAATCCGCCAGCGGCACCTTTATCATATCATATCTACCTCACATACGGCATTGATAGTTCACCCTTAAACTTTGTTTTGGAGATTTTGGTAAGAGCTTTTGTTAACATATTAATGCATAATTTTAAAATATTTAATTTATAAACCTTTAGACGGAGAGTGGCGATTTTGATTTTCCACTGTTTCAACTGGGAGTCTCTGCACATTACATTGGAAATTATGGCGATGAAGAAAGTGCGAAGTTGGCATCTTCATTCCCCTCCTATGCCATATTAGCCGAGTGGCCTGCCCTATACCAACGATATATTTTTTAATTATATGCAAATTGCGAAAATAGCAAGCACGAACAATTTTCTCTAAAATAAATATTAATATGAACAAAACGAACTAAACAAGCTATTAAACAATTAGTTTATTGTCTAATGAAAATGAGTATTTTGATGAGTTACTTGTTGGGTTAGTAGAACTTTGGCAATTTCTTGCTTCAGCTGAACAGAGAATCATAATTTAGAAATCAATGAGCATGTCCCACTATCAACTATTGAAATTAACATAGACATGTGTTTATGCAACTGTATCCTTTTATAACTATCTCTATACACTGTCGTACTGATAAGCAATATTATATGACTAAATGATTTGCAGACTCTTACACACAGAAATTATGATTCTTAGATGAAACCAACGAGCCAACCAATAAATTATTATCATAAATTTATGTTTTTTATAATATTGTCTTAATAAAAAAAGTTCTCAATACTCTGTTGCCCAATCAAATAATGAGTCTATACGAGTTTTTAGCTTGACATGCAGCAATTATAATCAATTATAAAATTAACCCAACCATTGGCTTTTCCAACCATATTTGGTAGATGCCAATTTTGGGTGGAAATCAAATATAGCCCGCAACTTCTATGTAAAAATATATACGACTTGCTATATTTTCAGTAGAACGGGCAGAATTAAAAATTGCGCTGTTTTATTCAAATATGTGAAACAGCAAGGAAAACAAGGCTCTCGAACAGACCCTTAAGCTAGGAAGCTGGTATGGCGCCTAAATTAATTAGCCACATTTCTATTTTGACTTGCAATCCTGATTAAAGCCCAGTCCATAACTCATTTACCTCAAACGTCCGCTGGGTCGCCACTGTTTAAAGAGGCTCTCTCTAAAAAGTTTTTATATATATTTTGAGAATATTTTCACAATTGTACTGAACTCGCATTCTAAGCGTTATTTCAGCCAGGTACTGTCTCTTTTCATTAAAAACTTGTTGACACTTTTTAGCTAAACAGATTAGATTGTATGAAAAGCAACACGCTCACCGTTCTGATTAATTTAAATATTTGACATTTTCCAGCCTAATCATATTAGATGAGGTTGGCTTGTTAAACGTAGTTTTCGGATTACAAAAATTAGATCCTATTTACACACTCAAGATTTATCTAATGTTCTCGAGAATAATTTCTTTGAAGCAGTTGGATACCGTAACACGTGGCGCATACAATATATTTATTTGGTTAGTAAAATTGGCATTCTTATCTGTCTTGATTGTTAAGAATCTCCAGTGGCGGGAAGCCGCTTTTATATTAGCTTTTATGACAAATAGCTAACACCATGACAACATCAGTTGAACAATTTTCAACTGGTAGCAAAGTAATATCTCATTCTGAAGCAAAACTGGATAGAACGCACAAACGTCCAACTGCCCAGTTGAGGTTTCAGATAAAATACTATTTTATCTTTTAATGTGTTAAACATTTTAAATATGTTTGTTGCTTGAAACGTATTGAAATTGTTGTTTAAAGCGCTTAGATTGCTAGCAAAAATCATGTATTTTAGCTAATCAATTAATTGACACCATAAATATTTTAATTTTTTAATGCGCTTTTCACAATCTCATCTTTATGACAACTCAATTCTACAATTATAAACGCCGTCAACACTTTAGTTAGCTCTACAATTTTTATTTGGAGAGCCTTCGCTTCACTTCAACAGATAACATTGAAGGATCTGGTGGCGGAGGTCGGGAAGTTTTATATCAAAGTGGACCTAACCATTCATGGCTTCTAAATGTAAATATTTAAAACCCAATTAGAATCGAAAATCACTTAACTACTTCAACTTTTTAACAGTACTATAAAAAATATATGAAATATCCCTTTGCTACGACCATGGCTGAGGAAATCTTCCAATCAGGTTTTATATCTCGGATTCAGACATTCCGTGTAAGTTGCAATGTGAGAGATCCAAAGAATGGTGACAAAATAATTAATTAATTTTCAGATTGAAAATGGTTTAGTATACCATACAGAGTACGACGTTATCGATGTGATTCCTCGTGTGAACTTATATTTCACGTACGGAATTAATAGCTCTGGACTAAAGTTCTTTTAGGAATTCACGGTAATACACCTGTTGAACACTTTTTTCTTTCAACTTAATTCATGTATATTTAATAATTTCACTTTTAGAAAGCGGATGGTGATTTCAAAGTTCCAGTTGGCAGTCTCGGGACATTATATCGCTCAAAGTGAGAAGTTCGCAAATTCCTTTCCATCATATGCAATTTTGGCCCAATGGCCAGCATTATACCAACGATACATATTTTAGGAGCGTCAAAATATTTGATAAATAATTCAAATTAATTGTAGCGTAAATGAATACAGCCAAAGCATCTTAAGACTCTCGACAACAACTTAACACATATACGAAAAGACATGAAAATCAGATATTTTCAGATTTTTCATTACGCGATTAAATGCTTATAAGAGTATTCTTATTGGAAACAACATGATAACCAAATTCAATTCATTACAAGAAAGATAACTGTAAGAGAAACTATGTATGTATGTATATATGTATGTAGGTTATGTCTTAATTTGCTCACCATATATTTTTGTATGTGTATGTATGTGTGTGTTGCGAACAGAAGTTACTTTATAAGTTGCGCACCACATTTTTGGGCGCTCAAAATGTGTTTTCGGCTCTCCAGATATTGTAATGAAATGATGCGCCTTGATAACTGTCTGCTTTTTAAATTATATACATTCAGCTATTTGTATTTCATCTTTTACTTATAGTCTTATTCACTTTTTTTCACCAGTTGCGGCGGCGCGTTCATCAAACATTGAGTTTTTTATTTGCAAAGCATGAGTCGTCGAGCCGTTCACATATTTACACTTGAGCGTGGCGCACACTTTTCAATTTTATTTTAGTTTATCACTATAATTCCACATAATTAATTAATTTAATCAAACACTTTAATAAAACATATTGTCGCACATGCTTAAGCCATTTATCCGCACCGAAATAACTGTAAACAATTCACAATGGTGTTTACAGCATGTGGTTAACAGTGTATAAACGCAAAATGCTCTAGGCAAACAGAATTGTTAAACTCAAATAGGCACTGTTAATTTAACATCGTATGGCACTGCCAACATAAATACTGGCCACATAGTGCGCGCGAAACATGTAGCTTTTTTGAAAAGTAAGAGAAAAATCGTAAGAAAAATAAAATGTATAAGAACAAGGGATGAATGTGGAAAAGTTATTCAAATACTTTGTCTGCACATTTTAATATAATATAATAATTCTTCAAGCTTATTTTAATATGAATCAAAACGGTATTTTTGTTGAATCTCTTCAATGCATTTGTATGTAGACCAATTGTATTGGCCATATGAACACAATCTTATCATTGATTCGTTAAATCATAAAAACAAGCCATTAACTCAAGTTGTAATGCATATTTATGACTAGCTCTGATAAAGCAAACAAACCTCAAGTACTTGAGGTTTCTAAACGACCAAATTTGTTTTGATTTGATTTGTTCGTATATCCAATTGGGCATTGCCCAAAGCTGCGTCACCACCAACGATGGTCACAAAGAATATCGAAATTCAGCCCCCTTTGCAGTTAGATACTGATCCCGGAAATTGGGCGAACAGTGGAAAAGCATAGGTTCGATTCCATTTTTAAACAATGTGGCTGGGCAAAGTTGTTTATCGCATGTTGGGTACATATAATTTAGATACCAAGCTCGCCTCTTGACCAGGTTTGTATGAAATGTATGGCTTTTTCTGGGCCAACACATTACAAAGAGGCATAGAGGTAAAATGTGGGTTGTTGATTTTGGAGGATTTTATCTTTATTGACTTCAAAGTGCAAATCACTGCCAATAAAATCCATGCAGCACCAAACCCATGCCATTCCGATACACAACTCTTCAGTTGGCCAACGATTGGCAACGGAGCTGGGCGGCGCACAAGTTTAAAAGAGAAAAAAAAATAAAAATAATGTCACAAACGGAAAAGGACGACAACGTAAGTGAGAATATTGGATTTGAAATGAAATATACATGATTGATTGCTATGCAGAGCGCTGCCATATTGGACGTGGCACTCGTGAGCATTTTAAAAGGCACCAAAAATCTCAGAGCCAAGCTGCCCTGGTACTATGCGCCCGCTTTTCTGCTGCTTTGGCTCGCGCTCTTCTTTGCGGTGGTCATTCCGCTATTCAATCGGCTGCCGGATAGTGTGAACATCGCCGAGGAGTCGCTGAGGCCGGGCGAGTTTGTTGCCGAGCGAGCACAGCAGCTTCTCTATAGCTTCGACAGCATCGGGCCCAAGGTCGTGGGCAGCGTAGCCAACGAGAAGCTCACGGTTGACTTTCTGCTCGGCGAAGTGGAGAATGTGCGCACAGCCATGAGATCGGATCTGTACGTGCTGGAGGTGGATGTGCAGCAGTCATCCGGCGCATATATGCACTGGAACATGGTGAACATGTACCAGACCGTGCAGAACGTGGTCGTCAAGCTGAGCACGCGCAGCTCCACAAGCGAATCCTACTTGTTGCTCAACAGTCACTTCGACTCAAAGCCCAGCAGTCCCGGCACTGGCGATGATGGCACCATGGTCATTGTCATGCTGGAGGTGCTGCGCCAAATGGCCATATCGGATCGACCCTTCGAGCATCCCATTGTCTTTCTATTCAATGGTGCCGAAGAGAATCCTCTGCAAGCCTCGCACGGCTTCATCACGCAGCACAAATGGGCCAAGAACTGCAAGTAAGGCAAGGTCTGACAAACAGAAATAGTTTTCCTCAATGGCATCTATTTGCAGAGCGCTTATTAATCTGGAAGTAGCTGGCAGTGGCGGGCGGGATCTGCTGTTCCAAGGTGGCCCCAACCATCCCTGGCTTATACGCGTACGTTGAGTATATTCATTGAGCTCTTATCTTCAGATTTACCTGATTATTTACGGCGCGTGGCGGCAAACAGTTAGAAGTTTATCATGGATTGGTGCTAATAAAAATACTTTTCCCCTCTCTTTATTGCCCGCTATAAACCCCTTTCGCGTCCAACTAACGTGGGATTTATGGACACAAAAACTTCCGTTCCGCTTTGAACAGTATTACAGACACCATGCCAAGCATCCTTTTGCGACTACCATGGCGGAGGAAATCTTTCAGGCCGGCATTCTGCCCTCGGATACGGACTTTCGCATATTTCGTGACTACGGCCAGGTGCCAGGTAAGCGTGTCAGTCTATTGACTATTAGCCATTCAAACAATTACCTCTGTTCCGCTGTTCAGGCCTGGACATGGCGCAGATCAACAATGGCTATGTCTACCATACCATATTCGACAACTATGCGGCTGTGCCTCGGGATTCACTGCAGAACACTGGCGAAAATGTTCTGCCCCTGGTGCGGGCCTTTGCCAATGCCAGCGAAATGCACGACACCGAGGTGGGTTCAGTGTAACAGTCGGTACTCGGGTGATCCTCACATCCCATTGCAGGCACACAGCGAGGGACATGCTGTCTTCTTTGACTTTCTGGGCCTGTTCTTTGTCTTCTACACGGAAACGATTGGCATTGTGTTGAACTGTTGCATTGCGGCTGTCAGCCTGCTGCTGGTCTGTGTCTCCCTGTGGCGCATGGCACGCGTCTCCGAGCAGTCGCTGTGCCAGGTTGTGCTCTGGTTCGCCATCATTCTGGGTCTACATGTGCTGGGTGTTGTACTCAGTCTGGGCCTGCCCCTGCTGATGGCCGTTATGTTCGATGCCGGCGATCGATCGTTGACCTACTTTACGAACACCTGGCTAATGATTGGACTCTACATCTGTCCGGCCATCATTGGACTCAGTTTGCCCACCACGCTGTACTACAGTTTCCGGAAGAACGTAAGCAGAACGTAATAAACCCAGCTGCAGTCTATATGAACTTCTTTGCCACAGCTGAAGATCAGCCACGCCTACCATCTGCATATGAGCCTGCACGCCCACTGTGTGGTGCTGGCCGTCATAGCCATCACACTGACTGCAATCAGTTTGCGCACACCCTACCTTTGCATGATATCCACGCTCTTCTATTCCGCTGCGCTGCTCGTCAACCTCTTGAGCAGCTTGCACGATCGAAGTGAGTTTTCTTTGATCATAAATTAATACCATTGCCTAATATAAAATGCACTCAATTTGTAGGCTATTACTGGGTGCTGATCACGCAGATATTCCAGCTGATGCCCTTCTTTTACTTCTGCTATCTGTTCTACATGTTCCTCATTGTTTTTATACCCATGATGGGCAGAAATGGCAGCTCCATAAATCCGGATCTCTTAGTTGCTTTACTATGCACGCTCGGCACATTTTTCGCAATGGGATTTGTGGTAAGTGGAGTTCATAAGCTCATCCGGACACATACTAATTGGGTTTCCAAAAAAAAAAAAGTCTCCTCTTATCAACATGTTCCGCTGGTCCAGATTTATTATGCTCACGCTGGGCATTGTCACCTTCATATTTAGCATGATTGCCGTCTCGGATGTGGGTTTTCCCTATCGCGCCAGGACCAGCGTTATGCGCGTCAACTTCCTGGTAAGTTTGTTTTTTGTATAATAGATAAAAATGTTAATTCTGAGTGGATATTGGCAGCATGTGCGTCGCATCTTCTACGAGTATGATGGCAGCGTGAGCCTCAGCGACTCGGGCTATTACTTCGACTTCCAGGACAGGCGACTCGCCAATCCGCTGGAGGAAACTTCGGTCAATTTGACGGGCCTGTCTAGCATTGAGCAGCACTGCGATACGGAACTGATGTGCGGTGTGCCCTGCTTCAATCATCGCTGGTGCAAGGCGCGCACCTCCGGCCACTGGCTGGCCCGTGAACAGGAGGTCGCCATACCGGGCAACTCCTCCCTGGTGCTTTTGGGCAAGACCATATTGTCCAGCGGCACCACGGTGCGCTATGAATTCGAGTTGAGTGGACCACCGCACATGGGTTTGTTTATACAACCGCTGGAGGGTGTAACCGTTGAAGATTGGTCCTTTATAAGGAATCCACTGGATGAACCAGAAAACTATAAGCTGCCCTATCAAATATTCTTCTCCTATGGCAAGGATAATTCGCCTTTGAAATTCCACATAGACTTTGCAGTGAGTGCAGAAATTAATTTATGGCTAAATAAATGTATTTCGAAATTTGTATCCCATTTAGAAACCTGCTGGTAACTTCGAAGTGCCAATCTTTGAACTGGGCGTTGCGTGGCATTATGTTAGCTACGACTTTGAAAGGGACTCGGCTGGATTGCAGTTTATAGCCGACTTTCCGGACTTTGTGCATGTGATGGAGTGGCCAACGCTATATAAGCGTTACATACTATAAACTAACTATGATATGATTTGTAAATTATTATTATAATTATAAGAGATTAAAATATAATTAACCACAAATATAAAGGCATATTAAATACTGGGGTGAACTCTCTCAGTCAGAAAATCTATGATGTCTCTGTCAATTCAAATGAAGATCTTCTGGAAATATTTTATATTTTATCCTCTACAAATATCGGAATTGAATTCATGTTATTGCTCATTCAGTAACACATAAACACATCTATTTACCTATTTATTTCTTATTGATTTATGCACGCCCCTTTATTAGTATTATTATTATATGAGCCCTATGTTCCACACGATAAAACTTCAAGTCATAGACCGACCCTGAATTATTGTTAGTACTAGCCGTTAACAAATAACGGTTAATTGCTTAACAGATGCGAAGTAGTTAGATCAATAAATCCACCTTATTAAGTACGATACCTGATAAAGATCCGAGTGAGTGATCAATCGCTCTTGACGATGTCAACTCAATCTGGACCCGAACTGTATTCCAAAGTGCGGACATAGTGATTTACACAATATGCATGCATGGATTTTGACAATGTGAAACGAGGGTCAATAAATGGTATATCAGCTATTGGGTCATAAATATCTATATGTATATAGATTCGTACTCCCAATGCACAATTTACAA